CATACCAGTAAGGCGAGGGTGCCCCCACATCAACACAAAGGAAACGATGGAACGCATCGTCTCAAACTTGGCAAATTCGCCAAGGTAAAAACTTGCGAAGCAATGTCACTCAGACGACGCGACACCACCAAACCAAATACCAAACATAAAAGAGAAGACGAAGCAAGCAACACATTCATTCAAAGGCAAAAGAGTTCATTAATTTCAGATATCAAGTACATCAGGGGGGCGCTTCGGCCAATACTAATCTACCAGACGCTACGTCTGAGACAAAAAAGAGAAAAAAGAACACTAAGCTACATCTCCAGCCTGCCCCTGGCCCCCATCAACAGCCCCACTGTCGGCGTCATCTTCGTCGTCCTCGGCGGTTTTTGACTTAGCTGAAGTCCGGAAGAGATAGTCGTCACTTTCGGTCCATGGCTCTTTTTCCTCATCGGAGCTCAGAATGGGGCGCTGCCTTTCGGCCAATGGAAGCTTCAACTCCTCCTCAGGGTCCTTCATCAGTCTGGGAAGGCCGATACCCTGGGGCCTCAGATTCTTGACACGCCGGCGAAGCCTCCGGTAAATGAGCATTTGCATACGCCGTTGCCCAAGGTCATAGAAGACCTCCATCTCTTGCTTCCAAAAAGCTTGACCAGCCGGGTCCTCTTGCGACCAAGTTTGGAAGCGATCGGCCACCACCTGAAAGCAGAACTGGCGATGTTCATCGGCCTTCCACCCCTCGGCCATGAACAGATCAACAGCCTTCTCGGCAGCCCTCTCCGCTTCGGCCTTCAGCTCCTCGGCCTTCTTCGCCTTATCTTCTGCCAACCGGCGGGCTACGGCCTCCCCCTCCAATTTGGCCTCAGCTGCAACGGCCCTGCTCTCAGCCGCATCGGCCTTCTCTTTAAGGGAGCCGACCTCGGATCGGAGAAGCTCCAGGGAAGCCAAGGCCTCATCGGCCGAGGCAGCCTTTTTCTCAGTCTCCCGAAGGCGAGCAATCTCCTCCTGCCGACGGTGCTGCTCCATCAGCATCAAGGCACCCTGTAAAGGACAAATTAAAAAGTTAGGAAAGGAAAGCAAAACGAGAAAAACTAAGTGCAAAATCATATACTTACTTGGACGACGAAGTCCAACCCTCCATCAAAAAGGCGCACTTCCTTGCCTTGCCGGCGTAGATACGCCCTGTCCTCATCAGGAATGGCTTGGAACAAGACATCGTGGCCTGAGACCCTCTCGTTGAATAGCCCACCCTTTGTCGGATACCGGACCGTCACCTCGTACAACCCGGAGGCTAAGTCACGGCCGCTCCGGGAGCTTGCCTGGGCATTCTTACCAGAAATCAGGGACGTAGGGACAAGGGCAGCCGATGCCTCATTCAGGGTCAGGTCCTCAATCACATGGACATCAGAAACCTGCTCTTTTTGAGCCGCAGCCTGCGCATCAGCCGTAGCGGCATCACCAGAGGGCAAACCCTGCTTCGGCCTCTTAGCACCCTGGGCTGGCTTCAACCCGGCTTCGGTCAAAGTTTGTTGACCCTCGGTGGGCCTCTTCTTCTTCTTCTGGGCCGCCGCCTTCTTCACCGCTTCGGCTTGAGACTTGGAACCGTCACCAGAACCTTTGGACGCCTCGGCTTGTTGAGCGGCTTCCATCTCTTTGGCGACCATCTTTTTGGCTTGGGTCATGAAAAGCTTACGGCTCATGGTGAAATCTACAGACGCAAAGAGCAAAGCAAAAGAGTTAGAAAAAACAAATACAACGAGCTATAATGTAAATCAAAAGAAAGTGATCAACCTTCGGCATCGGCCGGGACACCGAAGTAGGGCCCGTCGGCCTGCTCAAAGTAGCCGGATATCTTCGGCCATAATCCACAATCAGGGTCACCAGGAATATGGTACCGCATCATCCCTAGAGCTGCTATCTTGAACTCGGTGATGTAAGTGTTAACGCTCCGCGGCCCGCCCTTCAGGAACGCCTCCACTTGAGCATCAATCTCAGGGCTCCTCGGTGGGTTGTGCAAATTAAAGATACCGTTGTGCCCTTGAGATGGGAAGAACACCCTATCGGCTAATTTCACGAAGCAAAATTTACTCTTCCACCCATGGATGGACGACGGAAGATCAGTAAAAGATCTTTTCTTCGGCAGCTGTTGAAGGGCAGCATACCCAGCACAGTTCTCGTGGCTGCCCCGTCCGATCCGGTATAAGTTCGTGAACAATGCCGTCGTCGGATCAATCCCAAGCTCATCGCATCGGATGAGGAACCCGACGATGAGGGAATAGCTGTTCGGAGTAAGCAAAGCGGGTGGAAGATCTATCATGTTGAGATACTCCACAACGAAGGGATGAAGGGGGAACCTCAAACCCTGGGAGAAGCTCATCGGATACACTCCGAAGTAACCGGGAGGTGGATCCAGAACATGGTCCGTCGGCCTCGGCGCCCTAACCCTTCCATAAGGCCCGACGTAGAGCTGAGCCACCTGATATTCACCTTGGGAACCCTCCGGCCTTATGATATAAAGGTTCGTCAAATCCAGTTGCGAGATGCTACCAGATAACCCCTTCCGACGACGCGAGTTACGCTTCTTGGGGTTAGAGGAAGACGAGGCGGCACCAGGGACCGAAGTGATTGGGGGAGGACAAGGAATAGCGGCCGAGGATGCATCACCTGCAGCGTCGCCACGGAACTTGGGGTCGGAGGTCGCTTCGTCCTCACCAGAGGGTTGAGAACCCGCATCATCCACCAGACGCTCCTCGTCCACAGAGGTACGATAGTCTGCTGTATTCTCCATCTCAAACTCAAAGGCTGCCACAATGTCTAGGTCCACCTTGGGAGACGCGTCGTCCTCGTCAAAAGGCCAATCAGACTCGTCCAATGAAGCTGTCAAGTCAATGGGGGAGGGGACGCTACGGCCGTCAGGGAACGGCATAACAACTATCGCTACGTCCTAGGGGTAGTTTTCGGATCAAAGTGACTTTCCTAAAGAACACTAGATCTAACACCCTAAGGAGCAAAATATGGAGAAATCAAAGGAAAATTAAAGTATCTAACCTTTGAAGATTTGAAGGCTCGAAGAACACTTGAAGATTTCTGGGAAGCACTTTATCTCTCTAGAAATCTCAGCAGCACTTCAACTCTAGCAAACGCAAATGGGGTAGCGGCTACGGAATAGGGAGGTATTTAAAGAAAACTTCCAACGGTCACTACACGTGGCGCCACCCCATTGGCCCCACCAACGGCCACCTCTCTCCCTACCAATCAAGGGACACCAATTCAAAATCACTCAAACAGGCATCGCTACGGCCCAACTCAACCTTACAAAAGGCAAGGCATCGGCTGGATACCGCTACGGCCCAATTACTACAAAGCTCCAGAACAGGCATCGGCCCATCCTCCCGAAAAAGGAACGCATCGGCCTAAACTCAACGTCCTCACAGCAACCCAAGGAACCTTAATAGACCGCTACGGCCGCTTGTGCGCGCATCGTCGATGATAACCCTGGCATTGCGGCCTTCGTCCAAGGGTTCTCCCACAGGGTTACCTTGGACAGGTTCGCCTAAGGGTTGGAGTCATGACTAACGCATAGGTACCGGATCGGCTCATTACTCCCTTGTGCCTCAGATGCTCTTCGGCCAAAGGAGTGCGGGACTGGGGGACTGCATCGGCCACAAGGAAAGAAAACGCAACGGCCTCAAATGCAAAGAGGGCGCGCTACGGCTTGCCAACAACAAAAGAACTGGGGATCGCATCGGCTACAGAGCCCAGGAATTAGAACCCCAAGATAAAAAAAAAATCTAGCGCAACGGCTACGTACGCTGGGGGACCGCATCGTCTCACCATAACAAAAACTCACAAGTCAAAACGCTTCGGCCGCATAACAAAACAAAGGTGCGCATCGTATCGTCTACATAAACAGAATCAACCATCTTCATCTCATGAAAATAGGTCTTCGCTACGGCCAAAAGGATAGATGGGAGCTCTTCAACCACAACAAGATGACAATAAAAGCATGTCAACGCATCGCCTCGTCTTCAAAGGCACTTCCACAGAGTGCATCGGCCCGCATCAAGGCTATGAGTTCCCAAGCACGCTTCATCTACATCAAATAAGGGAACCGCTTCATCAAAAAATCAAAGCAGGAACTCTTCGGCCATCAAACGCCTTAGACTCACGCAACGGCCAGCCAGAAAGGAACAAGTACTCCCTTTCGCTTCGGTTTTACCTCAGCTCAGAGAGTGGGGGACTCCTGATAGAGTATATGGGCCTGGACCCCATGGCCCACATACTCAACGGCCCAAAAGACACCAGCGGGACACCCGCATCGCCCAGAGGCACGTAGCGTCCAAGAGAGAAGATATCGCCTGATTTCTATGGACCGCATCGTCCATGGACCGCGTCGTCCATGGACCGCATCGTCCATGGACCGCATCGTCCATGGACCGCATCGTCCGGACTTCGTCCGGGCAGAATGTATTTTCCTATTTTTCGTACTAAGTGTTGTACGCAGCCCATTAGTGGCCTTATTCGCCCAAAGAAGGCATGATTATTGTAATGGGCCTCCTAAGCCCAAGGCTAGGGGCCCAAATCTACATTTTTACCTATAAATAGACCCCAAGGGGCTAATTATAGGGGATTCTTTCCAAGTTGAGAAATATAATTACTCACTTTCTCTCTCTAGCTCTCACTTCTCTCTAGAATTAATACTCTATCAATATGTGATCCACAGTATTTCACTTTATTATAGTCAAAATTCAACCACAACTTTTTACCTTTTAGGATGTTTTTACTTGGACTTTAATTTGTCCCATACCAGATCAGATCAGACTTGGGTAGTTATAAAAATACAAAAAAAACAGACCAGACTAGATAAATTCAGACCAGATCAGACCAGACCAGCAAATTACACTCCAAGTAACAACATCCTTAATTACTTTATTAATAATTGTGGAAATGAATACATAAATGGGTAGTAGGTAGTAGGTTTTTCATTCACAAATTCATTGATCGAACCAGGCAAAACATGGGCATGCGGCGGCAGGCCCCCGGCGCCGAAGCCTTTTGTATCAGGGGGGAATGGAAGTATCGGTCAGTATTTCCAAATGTACAAGCAGTTTCAACTACTACCAGCAAATTCAGCATGACATCCATCAAAATTAGTGCTTCTTGTCTTCCATATAGTGTTTATGTCCGAACTTATTTTCCACAATCATCTCAGCGTTGCTTCTTCTCATCACCTCCGCCCTCATATTCTTCATCTCTTCAAAAAGTACCCGTCCATGAGATTGAAGCCGAGATCACTCCAATCTCAAGCCCACTCTACAATTTTCTCCCGGATACAGAAAATCCTAACAAAACAGTCGCCCTCGTATGTTCTTCCTTAAAGCAGAGAAACCCAAGAGGCGCCAGCCTAAAAGAGGAGCTTTCTAGTCGCGTGTTAACAAGCTCCGAGATCTCAAAGGTCCTCCTGCGATGTCAATCCGATTCTCACGCCGCTCTTTCCTTCTTCGATTGGGCCAGAAGCATCAACGGCACTAGTAACAGGTTAGACACGCTCAACTACTGCCTTATGGTCCACATATTGGCTTGGTCTAGAAATTATTCCATGGCAATGCAGACTCTATCCCAGCTTGTCCAGCTGACTACCACGGCGGCAAAGGGGGATTCTGTTTTCACTGGCTTGATCCATGGTACCCGGATGTGCAACTGGAGTCCTGTGGTGTTTGATATGCTTATTAGGGTTTACGTCAGGGCTGGAATGCTAAAACGTGGATTTAAGACATTTCAAAATGTCATCAGAATGGGGGTTTCGCCCAATGTCATCACAATTAATATCCTCTTGAATGCTCTCTCCCAGGCAAATCATTTTTCGAATTGCTGGAAAGTGTATGCCCAAATGGAGAGAATTGGGGTGAGCCCGAACTCATGCACTCTCAACATCATGATTCATTCCCTCTGCAAGAGCGGGGATGTGGACATGGTGGATGATTTTCTTGAAAGAATGGAAGAAGAAGAAGGATTGGGACCCGATATCATTACCTATAACATGTTAGTTGACAGTTATTGCAAGAGAGGGCGACTAAAAGATGCAGTTTATCTGTATTACATTATGTACAAAAGAGGAGTGCCCCCAGATTTAATAACCTATACTTCCTTGATTAGTGGTTTCTGCAAGGGAGGAAATGTCAAAGATGCTCATCAGTTGTTCCTCAGAATGATCCATAAAGGTTTCAAACCAGATTCTATTTCGTACAACACTCTTTTGCATGGATACTGCAAAGAAGGAATGCTGCATGAGGCCAAGGCTTTGTTTCATGATATGATTCAAAATGGAGTGGGCCCTGACAATTTCAGTTTGCAGAAACTACTAGAAGGATATAGGGAACATGGGAAACTTATCTCAGCGTTGAATTTGATTTTGGAGCTCCCGAAGTTTGGGCTTTTAATATCTCATGAGATACATGAGTACATGATTGTAGCTCTGTGCGCAGATAATAGACCATATGCCGCCAAGAATATCTTGGACCATATATCTAAACAAGGGTTTGAACCAAACATGGTAATATACAGAGAGTTAATTGTTTCTTTTTGCAATTGCAACTATGTGGATGAGGCACTGTGTTTGAGAGACGAGATGGTGGGTAAAAAGTTCAAGCTCTGTTTGGATTCATACAGAGGGATCATTAATGGTTTGTGTGTATCAAGTCGAAACCTAGAGGCAAATTCCATCTTGCAAGAAATGATTGATTCAGGGTTGGAACCAGACACTGAAATTTGTAGAGCCTTGATTACAGGACAATGTGATGATAAGAACTTTGATGAAGCGCTGTTCTTACTAATCCGGTTTGCTGAAAATTTTCAAGTTTTTGATTCAGTTTGTTATAACAAAGTTGTGTGTCTTCTTGGTGAGAAAGGCAATGTTGGTGAGTTAATGGAATTTCAAGAGAAAATGATGAAAATGGGGTTTACACCGAGTCAACTGACTTGCAAATATGTTGTTGGCGGGCTCCACAAAGCTATGAAGTTTCACAAACACTAACATCACGATGCACTGGTCAACATTTATGCTCCTTAAGCATCATACTTTTTCTACCTTGTGTGACCTTAGCCTTCAACACTATTCAGTGGGTCAAATCCCTAACCTAGTAAGGTTTCATATAGGCCCTGATTCTTGACAGAAGCAGACAAGCAGTCAACTGCTTGAGCTGATGTATGTTTGGTGCTCGCTCTTTCCGTCACATTATATGTTCCTCCCTCCATTCCACAATTAAATTCTCACTTGCCACTCTCCTTTTTGAGATTTCCCAAAATCAAGTTCTTACTTCTCTTTTTGGTACTATTTGAATGGAAAAATACACTTTTACCCATATTCAGTAAGATCTCCAAAAATTTACATGACAGAGGTATACACATTTTTTCATTCAGAACCAGAATCATTGATAACTGATTCCGGAATTGCAATTAGAGGAACCAGAAACAAACCGGTTGTATAATGTTCGGTTTAAGGTTGTTGGAGACGGGTGGTTCCTATGTGGTAATCACCCGTTTGAGCCACTTTTTAATGTGACATTTCGTTTATAGCTCCAGCCACATTTTTTAAATTTTTTCATATTTAAACTTTTGCCTTTTCACTTTTTTTTCTGCTAAACTTTTTTTATTTAAAAAAGTTATCTCTTACAACTAAAACCTAACCCCTAAATCCATTTAGATCGAAGTTGTCTGGAGATTGATGTTAGGCGCTGGTAATTCAAGCTTCACACTTGCCGATTTCAATCCGAAGATGGAGGAGTATCTATCTCCCAGTAACTCGTCTCGTATCATCTTCTTCGCAAACGCATAATAGATCACGTTCTCATCAAAATCTCAACCTCAGAGTCTATCTTCTTCTCAGAAATACATAGGTAGATCTATCCAAGTCTCACCAAGTTCCTTAGATCAAATTCTGTCTGCTGCCTATGCCTCTGACGGCACTAGCTTTTGATTGAATACAACTTAATGGTGGCCCTTCCCGAGCTTCGAAAAGCAATCTACTACTCTTCCCCACTCTTTGCACCTCTAGGCGAAATCAGCTCTTTTATCTTATTCGAGTAGCGACACATATAAAGCAGCATCGAAGAACATCGATTAGCGCTCCCGAGATGAACACCAACAGCAAACAAGTGGCAACAGCACTTGATATAAACTATTTTTCTCACTCCATGTACAGTGAGGTATTTGAATTGATATAGATTGTTTTTTCCCACTCTAAGTACTGAGAGGCATCACTAGCCAGATATTAAATTGTTTTTCACATGTTAAATTCTGCAGTGTGGATGTGAATCAGTGAGGATGGGGCATTTTGCCTAGAGTGCAGCTGATCGGTTGGCTCTGATTGAGCACTAAAAAACTCCAGTCTTCACCAAATTTTAGTATGTTGCTCCTGCAATAGACCTTCTCATATCCTATGGTAAAGTTCCTGTTTTGATCTTCTGAACTTTAAAAATGTGTTACTGCCCTGTTTAGTATGAAACCTCACCATTTTCTTTGAAGTTTTCTTGAGTTGTCATCATCTAGGTGCCTCTTAGTTCATGTATATGACTCTATTGATGATTATATTGATGAATTGATTACACCGTCTTTTTTTCATTCTTGATGATCTTTATGAATAGATCTCAAGTCTTGCAAAATCATTACACATGCTCATATGAATGCTACCGCATAAAGCACCCAACAGGCAATCTGCCGATCACATCGAGGCTCAAAGAAGACCGAATGGATGATCGATGGTTGTGTATATGGATAGTAGTATATCTAGAAGGAAGTTAGGATTGATAGACTAAAATCCAGGAGAATTGTTGGAATATAGATAAGGAGAATGATTAGCTTATTTAAATTTATTACATTCCAAGTTAGGCATAGAATAAGAGTAGCTCGTGGCATTGGCATAGAAATTCATATTTAATCCCTCATATTGTAATAACGGATTGTATGCAAGAAAAGCAATTTTCTCATCACTTATTATCCTTCTACCATCTTCCCTTCATATCTAATTTTTTATTTCTATGTGGAGCCCGGAGCTCCTTGAAAGGCAGTAACTTAACAACTGGTGCTTTCTTTGAGATGGATGAGTCAATCTGTCACATTTAAAAAAATAGAGGCAAGTAAATCATATGCATCATATTTTACAGTTTGTTTTTGAACTGTAATGGATTTATGAACTCAGATTGCTAATGGATTTATTTTGGAAAAGACATCATCTCGGGTGTTCTTTTGAATGGTATAAATAAATAAGATAAAGAGAGAATATCTTTGAGTGGTGTCTGGATGCCCTTGTTTAGGTATAAATAAGATAAAGAGATATTTTTTATGTCATGATTCCCTGTGCTTCTTTTTTAATAATGTAAAATTGTGGTGTTCATTGATCAAGTAGTAATTCATTGATGTAAAACTGTGCTGTTCATATAAAACAAGTCTTTTTTACTTATTTGATTGTTTTATATGGTTCCTTGTAATAATCCATTATGGAGTTGTGTAATAGTGATTGTATTCTCATTGCAGGTGTATGAATGGAAAAGAACTACATGAAAATGATGATAATAGGATTGAATGCTTCATGGTTTTAAAAAAAAAAAAGATTATCGAGGAGAATAAAGACAAGACTTACATTTGATGAAGTGTGTGTTGATCGAGAGACATGTAAAGAAGAAAGAATGATAAGAACAAGTAAAAGTGTGTAAATATTTACACACAAATTATATAATAGAGATTTGTGCAGAGGAGAGAGAAATAACATGAGTCACAAATTGATTTATTAAAAGAGAAATTGACAATGTTTTTAATACAACAAAAAAAGGAAAGTTTACAAAGTTATAAGGGACGGAGGGAGTACTATTTAGTTGAATAGTTAATAATTATACAATCATTTTACACCTATAGCATGAAGATTGAAGATCATACGAAGTAGTAGTTAAGTTTATGCATCTCGATAGAATCATATTTTACCAAACTCCTTTCATCACTAATTCGATGTAATCCTGTTATGAGGTGTATATATCCCGATTTTTTGGAACATGAAAATACACTTTATTATCTTGCATATATGGTATTTACTCATAGGTTACAAATCCATCCAGATTAAATAAATTTATCGTATGTGATAATAAATGAGACACTAGCAATTTTACACTAGGAAAGTGTTTATTTCGCTGTTAAAGTCACAGTTAAATTAGTAAGACAGGTGAAGTAAACATACAAACTGCTTAAAAAGTTGCTTACTAACCGAACGAGGTGCTTAAAGTGCCGCTTACTAAATATACCACACCCCATGTATTAATTAAGCGGCACTTTAAGCTTTTTCAGTTTTCGAATTTACTCTTACCCCTTCTCCTTACCTTATTGTTACCCTTTACCCGCTACCCCTCTACCCACCCCTACCCTACCTTACCCCGACCCCAACCCTACCCCCCGACCATAACCCCTACCCCTACCCCACGGTAGGCCCCCCCCTTACCCTACCCCTTTACCGCCCACCACCTGCCCTATCTCGACCCCACCCCGACCCTTGCCCTTACCTCGACTCCACCCTGACCCCACCCCCTACGGGTTAGTGTAGGATTAGGGGTATGGGTAGAGAGTAAGGTCGAGGTAAGATGGGTAGGGAAGGGGTAGGGGTCAGGGGTATGAGTACGTGCACGAGGTGACCCCCACATATTATATTATATATGTGTGTTCATGAATGCTTGTGTGTTATATATGTATAGGGTTATTTTGGACATTTTAATGTTAAACAGTGTTATACATTCTTTGAAGTAGGGGTGGACCGGTTCCGGTTCGCGCCCGGCCGGGCCTCGGTTCAGAAAAATGAGGCCCGAGCCCGAACCGGTGGTGGGCGGTTCCGGGTCCAGTTCCGGGCCAGACCGGGCCGGGCCACCCAGATTTTTTTTTCTTTTTTTTCTTCTTCTCTTATTTAACCCCCTACCCCTCCCTCTCCACTTCAAACCACCTCAATTGGCCCAAAATACCTAATCCAACCCAAAACTTAAAAAATTTCAAAAAAATAAATAAATAAATTCCGGCCCGAACCGGGCCCGGCCGGGCCGGTTCACTAAATTGGAGGCCCGGGCCCGGACCGCTATACCACCGGGCCGGGAGGCCCGAACCGGGCACGAACCGGTTCACCGGGCCGGTCCGGGCCCGCACAGTAGCGGGCCGGTCCGGTTTCGGGCAGGTTGGCCCGGCCCGAGTCCATCCCTACTTTGAAGTAAACATGAGTTTACAACACTGCTTATTTTATGTGCTGCTTATTAACTCGAGTCTTATAAGCACCGTTTAGTAACCCGTGAAGTAAACGTGTTCTAAATGTAGGGTACCAATTAAAGAGGTTTTCAAACAATTATAACATGTTTATTGAACTTTACACAAGTGAATAAAATATCGAGTAATAACATGCTACATACACATTCATACGTAAATCACTAGTGCAAAAAAGGCTTTTTACATCATATTATCTACATGTGTTAGCCCAAAACCCATGTAGAATACTGACATGGGGTCTTTTTTATAATTTTTATAAACGTTTTCACATCAGTTGTGTATTTAACCGATGTTAAATTGTGAAACGGGGTATTTTTTAAATTTTTCTAAATATTCTACATCGAGTTTTAGTGCAACCGATGTTAATAGAAAAACGGGGTAAATTTTATAATTAATAAAATTATATTTTACATCTGTTAACACCGATGTAGAAAGGGTACAATAAAAATATTCGTTCCTAATTCCAGATCGGTTAATTATACGGGGTATGAATGATGCTATAGGCTGGTTGTAATCGATCCCTAAGTTAACCTAGCATAAATTCAGCTGCCCAGACTAGGACACCGAACTGCGACACCCGCCTGCGGCACAGGACTGCGACACTCGCCTGTGGAATCGATCTGCCACACCCGATTGCGACACTCGCCTGTGGAATCGATCTGCCACACCCGATTGCGACACTCGCTTGCGGCACCGAACTGCTGACATTCCGGCGTCCAGTGCAGGCCACGACTTCGTACCTTCATTGGACGGCGTTTGCGAGCAGGTGCAGTAGACCAACGTTCGTGAATGAGCTGAGCAGTAGGACGCCGTGCGAGAGAGCTTAATGGAGTTGTCTCAGGCAGCTATTTCAGATTTTTCAGTCACCAAACATCAGCACAGGTAGAGTCCTCCAGTTAATGTGAGTTTCTTTAAGTTTCTTCAAGTCATCTTTATGTTTCTATTTAGTTCTTTAAATCATATCATCGATTTCAGTTTTGTATTCCATGTAATGTGATTTATTAATCTATCTATTTGATGAATTAATTTGAGATTTATTTCAGTTTCTCTAAGTCACATAAATCAGCCAATGTTTCTTTAAGTGATCTTATTGCTTTCAGTTTTGTATACCTTGTAATATGAATTATAAATCTATCTATTTGATGAATTAACCTGAGATTTATATTGAGTTTCTTTATGTCACATGAATCAACCAATGTTTCTCTAAGTAATCTTAATCATTGAGGTCAAGCCAATGAATCTGCAACCTCCCGTGACCTTCGAGGTTAGCGGCTTCCAGTGGAGCAAGTGGTGAGCAGAGCAGGGGAATGAGCATCCTCAGTTGGAGCAAGTAATTCCAGTATCTATAGACCTTCGATCCGTAGGTAAGTAGGTAACCTAGTTTCTTTACTCTATTTATCACCTTAATTTCACAGTGCATATATGGTGTTTGCATGGATGTTTGAGAGTAAGGTTTTTTTACCAAAAGAGTAAGGTTAGTTATTGAGAGTATACTTAATTATTGGTATGTCTTATTCATACAATCTATATGAATTAAACAATTAATGAAGGAATTAATAAAGGATTTATCCATTCTTTTGCCTCTTAGGGGCTGAATTTTTTTAGGGTCTGAAGGAATTATCAGAACTTTCTTCCTCTCCTTAAACCTTGGACATTGAATCAATGCTCTTCATTGAGGATTTAGAACTATAAATAGAGAATTATATGTGCTTCTCAATTAGCTTTTTTAGCATTATAAATATTTACCCATTCTTGTGCATTGTAGGAGCTAATTTTATTTATTGATACATGTCAGTCGATTGCCAGTGCTAAATGTGGTTGGTAAGCACGTGGTATGATAATATCACCGTGCTAGTCCACCTTCTTTGGTCTGACTGCTTCGTCGGTCACTGCCCCAGCTCTTATATTTTTATGGTAATATTTATCTTTAACTTTTTATGTATTGATAATATTCATTTATTTTCAGTGGATTATATAATTCGATAGATTAAATTTTACTATCTCTATTATGCATTTTGATGTATATATGTATAAATGTATACAAAATGTATTCGCCCCTTGTTACTCACAGGTGTTTTAGCAGATGCATTGTGATAATGGGTGGTGCATGAGAAGAACTTTGAGGTCATAAAGATCCCTTTTGTAGACTGATGTGCTGTGAAGATGGGCTGAACTCTAAAGAGCTAGTATGAGTTTAATAATCTTTCTTTCCAGCGCCGTTTTTTTTGAAATGATAAAATAGAAAAATGCATTCAACAGGTGAGTAGCAAATATAATTTCACTCATTTGAGCTAATTTAAATTATTTGGTGCCACCAGATGCATTTGGGTATTTCCAATGCAAGTTGCGATTTGGCGGGCTGGAAGCTGTGATGGGCAAGTGAGCTGCAAGCAAGGTTCACCGGAGGTGAACAAGTAGTCAAGGATGTGAGGCGTGCTGCGAGTTGGGGACCGTAGTCACTGTACTGAATTGAATTGGCGGTAAGCAAACAAAGTATGCGGCTGAACAAACTCTGTGCTTTTCAGCTTCTGGCAATCTGGCTTCTGCCTTCTGCTAAGTTGCTCGCCTCTGCCAGGTAAGTTTATTCTTTTAATTTTTCAGATTTTCGGAAAGCAGGCAGCAACAGGTTTACTTGTTTAGTTATGTAGTGTTTTGTAAATTCCTTTTATTTGCTTGACCTGAAGTGGTGCAGCCTGCCATTTTTTTAACTCCAATCTTTATTTAGTTCTTTATTTGTTTTATTGTTTAACTTAGAATACTTGTTAATAGAAAAGTTGAATCTTTTAATATGATTGATTAATGAGTAATAAGTGATGACTAAATTGACCTGTTAAATTTTTACTTAATGGCTACGTATTTTTTCAATTGTACCTGTGAATCCTGTGATATGATTTTATATTTTTAGGTTATGTATGCCTATGTATCAAATCATAATTCAAAGTGGTGGGTCGTTGAAATGGTCAAACGAAGGAAGTAATTTTAGCTCCTCAAAATTTGTTCAGATTCTACCTCTGCCAGTTCCATTCAAAGGTATAGATCAGAGAGACAAATGGTTTAAGATATCGTCATCTATGGTCCTGTGCAATAAACCATAGGGCATAACCGAGACAACTAGAAACCAATAAAATGGTGCCACATGTCCAATGTTGACTTGTTTTGCAATAAACAAGTCAGCTGCCCTGTGTCCGATTTCGACGCTCGTCTGGAGCCAGCTGCCCTGCTCGTGGAGGTAGAACTCGACGACCCTTCGGACAGGAAGGTGTCCATTGGTGCTGACCTCGAGCCTAAGATCAGGGACGGGGTCATAGCCGTCCTTCGGAGATTCAAGATCCTGTTCGCCAGAGGGCTGGAGGACATGCCAGGCATTGACCCAAATCTCAACAAACGAGATTGCGTGATAGGAAGAGAGTGATATCATTGTATTTGAACCGGTTTAACACTTGTTTTCACACTTGTATTTTAGTGAGCATAGTATTGCATAATAGTGTACATCAAAATCTTGTGTTAACTGGCAGAATAGAAGCAATATTATCTATCTTTGTAATTTTCATTCACCATATATACCTATTTATATAATAATTTATACTTCGTACATTCATATTTATGTAGTAACATATTTTTTAGAAGTACTTGTTAGGTTTGTTAATGTAGCTGACAAGATTTGAAACCATACACCATAAGTGGATTTATTTAATGGGGTACTTTTCTAATGCTTGCATTGCTTTGTAGTATGTATTTTATTGTTTGATCTTTTCTCCTGATGCTTAAAGAATATGGGTTATTGTCATTTATTAAAATGTCATGTTGTTTTACTCAGGAGCCTGTGGAAATTAGTATTGAAGTAGAGAAGAGCAATATAAAAAGTAATGAAGAAAAAATTCAAGATGTCTGGGAAAGGACCTTATATTATACCAGAGAACAAGCTACAAAAATTGCAGAATCTGTCCAAGAAATCAAGAAGCGATTTGAGCATGATTGCAAAGGAAATGGACAACGAAAGTAAAGAATATTTTGCTAAAGCTTTGAGAATTCTTCTGAACCTGTAAAGGATATTGTCGAAACATTTGTCTAAAAATATGTATTCATATTTTTATTGCCAAGCCTATAAATTGTTCAAAGTACTTGTGCAAGGCTTGTTTTATTTTAGCTTATTATTATGTACTAAATTGTTACTTAAAGTTGTTTAGCATTTTTGGAAGAATTGAAAAATAGTGTGTTATTGTTTTAGATTAATCAAGTGAACAGGTGCAAAATCGTGCTATAGTAGTTGATGATATTGTTAATGATGTGATTATAGTAAAAATTGGGGTCATATAGCAATTTTCTCGGAAATTTCTACATCAGTTGATAAAATAACCGATGTAAAAGCTTTTCTACATGGGTTATAATCGATGTGAAAAACCCTATGTTTCAAGAAAAAATTAAGCTATTCTACATGGGTCATTTTAGACCCGATGTAAATTCTTCCACATCAGTTATAACCGATGTGGAATACCTTTTAAAACGCCATTTTGGTCAATCTTCTAGATCGGGTACTGCACGACCGATGTAGAAAGACTTTTCACATCAGTTATAGAACTGATGTGAAAAGTCTCTACTTTTCACATGGGCTGGAACCACATCGGTTGTTCGACCGATGTGAAAAGTCTTTTTTGACCGATGTGAAAAGCCTTTTTTGTACTAGTGAATGTCAATGCTCTAACTCTTATGGTTTTCGCGGACTTAGCTCAACCCACGAAGGACATAATAAAATAAAACATTTATATGAAATTAATTTATCTTACGAGTGGTATTATTGTATAGCTATTGGTTTTAAATAAGAGATGAAGAAGGGAAAAAGAAAACAAACAGAGAAATGAAAAAATTAGAGGAATAGTTACTTATTCATAACTAAAATAAAGTTTTATACAAAAATGTGACCTCTTTTGTGTAGCGGTGATTATAATAGTACATAACTTAGTCACATATAGTAACTAATTATGTTCAACTTTTAAACTTAATTGATCATGACACTATATTATACGGAGTAGTAACTATTGGACATATTTTTTAAATACATTTTATTTCAATAATATTTTTGAAAAAAAAAACTCAAGATTAAAATCAGCCAACCATGTCAACACCCTACATATGCATATCAGCCTGTTCAGTGGCGGACCCAGAAAGTCGGAGGCACGGGGTCCCTACCCTTGCGTATCTCTAATTAATAAAAAACCATTAAAAAAATACGGAGTATTAAAGAAGTTAGCATAGCAATTCATAGCTAACTTACATCATCAAAACATTAAAATATTACTCCCTCCGGTCCTTAATTAACTTTACACTTTTCTTTTTAGATCATCCCATATAAAACTTCACACTTCTTTTTCTACACCAAAACAGTGCAAAACAGTGCACTTTACAGTAAAATTTGTTAATCTGTGTGAAGTCAAAGTGTCAAGTTAATTAAGAACCAGAGGGAGCATAAAGCAAAAAATTACAGGATCAACTTCCAAAGATACTAAATCAACATGTTGTTCAGGTAGATTATCAGTTAAATTAGCTGCACTTTCAGTAATTACCTGATTCAATTCTTCATTTACTAATAACAAATCATTTGAATGGATATCTGAACTACTATCGAACTCTGAATTTCCTTAACTCTCAGTACAATACCGAAATATTTTTTCATCCTAATTCATATAATATTGAAAATAACGTTTATAAATACAAATATACTTCCCCCGCTCCCCTTTAATTGCAACAGTCAACATTTCACGTTTGTCAACACACAAGTTTGACCATTAATATTTTTTATTCCTTATTAGTAAAAAAAATTAAAAAAAATACATTTTGAAATTTTAGAATGAGAAGAATTTAACAATATTTTTAAAAAATTCAGTTTATAATACATTAATAAATGAAATATAGTCAAAGTAGAATATATGAATAGTGCAAAAAGTTCAATGTTGCAACTAAAAGAGAACGAAGGTAGTACGTAGTATTAATTTAATCTTAACATTTAATGAAAGCTTTTTAATTAAACTCAAACAAAAGATATGCAAATTAAAAAAGAAACAATAAAAAACATGGGAGGTAAAAGAAAAGAGAAGTAACTGGGGATCGAACTTGGAACCTCAAGTGAGGTTGAAAGCCCCTAACCCACATTTCCTACCATTCGACTACTACAATCTTTTGCTTGCCTAGTCGTTGTTATTGTATATATACATTTACTACATAATTTTATATAAAATATATATAATATATAGGTAATTTTTTCGAAGTCCACGGGGTCCCGGGACCCCGTGGGACCCTTAGTGGGTCCGCCTCTGAGCCTGTTAGCCTATTAGTTACCGGGTAAATGATTGATTTGAATATTTTTTAAAGTTAAGGTGAATGATTTTCTTAATACGTGCTTAATTAATAATTTTGGTTGTATCGTGCATGTATGAGAAGAGTGGAGAATATTGATTCTCGTAATAATTAAGCACATTTGCAAAAGGCAAAGTACCTAATTGATCATATTAATTGATTCTTGTGCCCAACTTTTCCCCTCTTTGCATTTTCTTTATTTGCCATCAACACCATCTTTGCGTTCTCCTGGATCTTGTATGCAACATGTTTATGCATAAACATAGACTAGTATTATTAATTCATCCAATTTCAATATACCCAGTACCTCTAGCTGAAACACAAGCTTAATATGTACAGTGTGTGAGGCTATGCACAAACCATAAACCCCATAAACTTGCCGAAGTTTGCTTTCGAGTGGAATTGGTTATTTTATAGGGTGATTAGTGGGTATGTTCTGTATTTTTTTCTTATCCATCTAATTATGTACTGTATTATATATGCGAACATGTTTCTCGTTTGCTTCCATTTTGGTGTATTATATGTACTCCCTCCCTCCCTCAAAATTATTCTCACTTTTCTTTTTGGGATGTCCCATTTTTTTTTTCTCATTTCTCTTTTTGGAAAGTTTTGTGTGATTATCATTCATTTACATTTTTTATTCAACCACGTCCATATATTTCCACTTTATTCACACCTTCTTAAACTGTGATCCAAGTCACATCGGGAAGAATTTTACGGGGCGGAGGAACCGAGGAAGTATTTATTAGATTTGAAAGTAGTATGCCTTAGCTAGCTTAAAATCGAGAAGCAGTAATTTCTATTGCTTAGAGCTTTTGTGTCTATATATATTCCCAAAACTAAAGAGTTGGGCGTATTGTTGGTATTGATAAAATAAAGCACGCTCTTAAGTTGGACACATCTTGTGTCGAGGATGACAAAAAAGAAGCATTATATTATTGCAATAGAGATGGTTATGAAGTAAAAGGCAAGCGCCAACTTTCCCTTTCCATGAATGACACAAATCAAGGCCTCTCTCTCTCTATTTGTTTGAATTGCCTCCCTTCAAACTTGAAAATTTAATCCTCTATAAAAAACATGCACTTTCCTCAGGAGGATATATTGGCACTCGTTGTGCGTGCACATACATAAAAAGTCCAAGTCTGTTGGTAACAGAAAAGTTATTTGGCGAAGAATGCACATGCAATTATATTGTTGCAACTATTTGCTCTATCTAAAGTAGCAAATTGATGATAAAATCACATGCCACATTTAACATGAAGAACTATGTACACGGGTACGTACGTTCTTACGAGTTTTTTTGTTATAAATTAATTGTCAAGCAAAATCGATCTCTATATTCTTTGATTCCTGATTTCCTGCCACTACATACATACTACCTAATAATATATAATAGTTTGCCTAAGATTGATTTTACATTTATTGCATATATAGTTTGAATGGTAAAAGGGCAATTGCAGCGGAGAGACTTATTTTGAGTATAATCGTAGGCGCCGCTTTTGGATTCTTTGTTGGTGTCACATATCCAACTCTAACATCAAATAAGGTACGTACCTTAGCAGCTACCTCTCACTCATTCGTACTTCACCATATTACCCATATATATATATATATATATATATATATATATATATGATAGATGCATGATATCATCTTCCATATCCATATATATAATTCTCAATAATCCCTCTAATTTTGCAGCACAATGTTAGGGTGACAAGTCTCAGTAACAATGTACTTTTGCCAACTCCAGAGTATACAACTTCAACTACAGAATGTAATGACACTGCACAAAGCCAAAACATAACAGATTCTACAGAGGTACATCATTTCTTGACATTTTTTGTTTATCTAATTACTTCCTCGTTTCAAATTGAATTCCAATTTGTGATTTTTATGGTTGTCCGACAATAAAATTAAATCATCCATACAAATAGTTAAAGCAGTTTCAATAATTAAAATATTTCATATTCGAAAACTATGTTGAAAGTTCTATGAAGTCACACAATTCAAATTAGAATATACTTCATACGAATTAATAGACAATTGACATGCTAAATAAGTAAACAAAGTGAAATTGTTTTGACAAATGAATGTTGACTATAAATAATTTTGGGATAGATGGAGCATTGGATACACTCGATACAGTTTCCCCCCATATGATTATACTCTCTGTATATGATAAAACATGTCTAAATTAAATAATTCTTTTTATCACAAATTCACAATGTCATGTAATGGCAGATAAATCACAATTGGCTATAGTAAAACATTTAACTTACATCTTCGTAACATAAACTCAAAAATAAAAGTTTGATTTACAAAACTAACAAAATAAATATGATCAAACACGTCCTTCTTATTATTGGTAATACGATCATCGTAAACTGCTAATTACAAAGCTTAGAATTCACCCAATAAACAAGTGCACACAATTATATGGGAAACATCTTTCTAAATAAAGCTCACTACCGAGCCCGTTCGGTAACTTGTTCTTCAACTTATTATGCTTATCAATCAAATTTTTCACCAATATGTACCTTTTTATTTTGCGCGCTAAAATGTGTACTAATAAGAAAAAGTAAGATTGAATTTATTTTTCTGACTATATTGACTGAAGTTACTGTAGAGAATCATTTTAGTTACTTTTACATATAATTTTTTCTTTATTTTATTAAAAAAAATATTTTAACTTTAATTTTTTCATAAATCAGCAAATCAACCACTTTAGTCATAAATTTCATAAATAAATCTTCCAAGAGGCCCTAAAAGGATGTTGTTTTGGATGATAACATTGAAAGTAAAGAAGTTTAAGGGCCCGTTTGGTAACGCTAAAATCCGCTGAATCGACTAATTCTGTTGAAATTTATGAAGTTCTAGCTGAAGTGACTGTATTGATCGA